GGAGGCGGCCGGGGCAGGGCGGGGAGGCGGAGGGGCGGCCGAGGCGGTGCGCGACGGGGCGCGGCGCGGCGGGCAGGGTGGCCGGAGGCGCGGCGGCGGCTGGATCTGGGAGGGAGCTGAAAACTCCCTCCCGCGCGAACGAGAGGAGGAAACCGGGTCGGGGAGGGGTTGGGCTGCCAACCCCTGTTTCTACAGGCTGGAAAGGAGTATAGGGGTTGAGCCTCTAAAAAATTTTAAGGATTTAAGGGTTAAGGGGTTTTATTCTTTGCGATTTTTTCGTCTCAACCCGTAAAAAAGCGGTTATTTTTAAGGATTTGAGGGTTTAAGGGTACTACTAATAATGCTCTTAGAGCACTTATGCACCAAATCTCAACACGAATCATCCAAGCATACATGAACATAGCTTGTTCAAAAAAGAATGAACAATAGCGCATTAAAATATCTGATATGTATACATTAGAAAATATGAATAAACAGTTAAAATGCATCAAACAACGTTCATATGAAATAAAAACATACCTTTTGTAAACACATCATCACGGTGGCTTGTGGACGCAGTCTGTTGGTGTGGTCTACTCTTGGCGACTCGTCATCTCGCCTCTCGGTGTGGCCACGTCGGCAGCGACGATGTTAAAATCTCGAAGTCACATAACATCACACGTCCTAGGGGTTGGTTGTCTATTTTGGGGAAAAACGACTGTCAAGATTTGATTGTTTACCTATCTAATTTGTCCAACGAGTGTAATTTAGAATTCAATCAAACGCGCATCTACTACCCAACTCCAGTTGTGACCTTCTTGAATCAAATATAGAACAAAAAAAGATATTGTTGCCTCCTGCGTCCTACCCCATCTTTTGTTTTATTTTGTTGCTGCTCCACATGTCCCTTTCCCGGAACTTCATTCTCAGCGCATGTTCACGACTCATGAGAGCAAAAAAAGATGTTAAGACTTTCCATCATTATCACATAATGGGTATACATGGGTAGCAGATAATCAAATAACTTGAACGTGGGAGGAAACATGCCATTGGGGTGGGTGGGTGCGGGGGAATCAGGAAGGAAGGAGCCGAGGAGGGTAGCTGCATAGATCGATGAACTTTACCCATGGATTTCGAAGTGCAGTATTGGTGCGGCGGCGCAGGCTATAAGATATGGCTTGAGCGATATGACCTGATATCGTCTAATCCCAGAATTTGCGGGAGAATCCATTGTGTTCACTGGAATAGAGCGATCTCAGCGCTTCGTCTATTACCCTGACTTCGAGGGCCTTTGGACGGTTTGACCAAGCAGCACAGGCCCAAGTTGGGGCCCCCTTGATTTCATA